TATATATATATATATATATATATATAGTAAGAGAGAGAGAGAGAGAGAGAGAGAGAGAAGGCTTGGTCATTTTGGCCGGAAAATTTTGCTAGCCATTAGCATCTTCATCATGAGCATGTTGATCTCAGAGAAACATGGACAGTAACATCCCATTTCGGTCTCCAGGCACCCTTTGAGAAACCTCAAAATCAAGGTTTTGAACCAAGTTAGCATGCATGACAATCGTCATCCCCTTTGAAATCTTCATCATTATTACTCGTAATACTGCAAATTTTTACACTAACACAATCACATATTTTCTCCATCACTATTATCTACATACACTTTAAAATAATGAGAAAAGATATGAAGACTTATAGCCTCACAAAAAATATGGCCCTTAATATAGTAGAATGACGGACTAAAATTCATGCCGCCGATCCCATTTAGTTGGTAAAAGACTTTGACGATGATGTTGATTGTTACGCATGTACCCACAAATTTTTAAACTACCATTGTTATTTCCTTCTATTCCAATTTGACTTCCTATGAGATTGCTGCCACCATTCAAAACCAATAAAACAAATAGAACGGAAAAAGTGAAATAAATGTTCCAATAAAAATCCGTATCTTTCCCTCAATATCAACACCACAAGGAAGACAAGAGTACACATTGATTAGAAACTGCTCCAAAGAATTTGTAAACTAGTGGAAACTACAAGCCCCAATTAAACATTTTAAACATCTAAAATAGAGCTACATAAAGGAAGAAAATGCTTGCAACGATGAATACATGAAATAAAATGCTATCTTTGTATCTAACATTATAACTTAATAATAACGCTCTCTTTGTATCTAAAACCGAATAAAATTGATCAAACATTCACCATTTTCGATCAACAAGAAAACAATACAATAAAAACAACAGTGATCCTTGCATCATGGAATCGAAAATCAAAATAGAGAACCATTAAATTTATCATCCACACCATAATTTACAGTTACGGATTACCCTTTCTTTTTTCTAACTATAAAATAGGTAATCCTAACTCAACTCTAAAAAGAACTAGAAAGAGAGAGGGGGAGCTCTGAAATCACATACACACATCATATCAAGTGTTCACCAAAATGGAAACTTTAGACAAGTCAAAAGAGTTCAACTCTTTACATAGAAAAGGAACAAAAAAACATATCGACCTAGTTAAACAAAATTCCATGAATGCTCTAAGAAATCAACATTCACCACGAGAGAGATGGATTACTTATAATTGTCCAAAAAGAGAAACAAAGAGCTTCTTACTCCAGATGCTCAAAGGAACCTAGAAATCTCAAGAGAGAGGGAATCCTTATTCCCCAATGTTCCAAAGAGAGAGATGCAAGACAACATAACCCAAAATGAAAAGCAATAACTACAAAAGAATATCAGAGAAGAAATTAAACTTCCTTACCAGTTCTGTGGAATTCAAATCGGGAAACAAAAATGATTCCGATTTTTCAATTTAAAGACTTCAGGGAACTTTACACATATAAATATGAACATTTTCATATGAATAAAAATAGCAAAAATTAGTTTTTTATTTACAAAAACAAGTCCACACATTATTAACAAAAGTATTTAATCGTTCTCTCCTTTTCAGGCAGCTAAAACTCTGATGTTTTCTCTTATGTGTTGCAAATCATGGATTTTAAAGAGAAGGCCCAAGGCACACAACATCAAATGACAAAAAGAGTCCATGAGCCAAAAGGGGAAATTCCAAGGGAAAAATGGAAGAAAGCTTGGTAAATGAAATGTGAGCTTCTTCCAGAGTAAAACCACTAGCTTGAGGGAAGAAAGTTGCGGGCCCATGAGCATGTTGGCTAATTCCATGGCCTCCATTCATACTCTTAAGCCCAAAACCTTCAAATACAACAGCTCAACTCAAACCCTAAAAGGAGAGAGAGAGAGAGAGAGAGAGAGAGAGAGAGAGAGAGAGTAGTTAGTTGGCGTACGAGTAGTATAGTTAGTACGTTTAGTAACGTTAGTAGGAGAGAGACGAGGAAGTAATAGTAAGGAAGAAGAAGTAGTCGTTACT